GAAAGCCAGACTTGAGAACACTTTAACAGAAATACAAAGACCTGGAAATCTCCAATTCTTTACATTGACTTTTTAAAAATTACCTAGAAAAAAGACTGAAAAAAGAGAAATCTCAGTGTTTAGAACAAACTGGGCTGATAACAAATGTAACAAGAAAGATTCAGTGTTTTAATGGCAAATGGTGCATCAAAACATTTAAAATTTCAAGTAGCTGCCACTAAAACACTCTTCATTATACATCAGCAAAATGAAGCACAACTCCAGACATTAAAATGCTTTGATAAAAATTCTAATTATGAGGAAAGTATGAAGACTTTTTTATAAGCAGAAAGATGGGAAAGAAGAGTTAGTGAACACTAAATGAAATGCAATGTTACAAAACTCTAAAGTGGTATGGAACAATTCTAAAAGTAAAAATCAGATCCAATTTCTAGGTGAACCCTTGCTGAAGCTCAGTGACCTGACTGCTGTTATTGGAGAAAACGACATGGATGGTGGGAACTTGGAATTTCCTAAAACAAATGTGTCAGGAAATGGAGATTTCTTAGAAGTTTTGAAGAAACTTATTGATGTGACCTAGTAAAACTTACTGTGGAGGGCTGAATAATGTCCCGCACCCTCCCTGGCAAAGGTGTCCATGTCCTAAGCCCCAGAACAAAAATGTAAATGTATTCTATTCACTTACGTGTCAAAAGAGACTTCGTAGATAGAATTAATTTAAAGATCTTGAGATGGAGAGAGTACCCTGGGTTACCCGGGTGAGCTACAAATTAAACACATGGGTTCTTATAAAAGGGAGACAGAAAGATCCAAGTTTGGGAAGGAAATGATGTAATGAAAGCAGAGGTTGAAGAGACGTGGTCGTGAATCAAGCAACGTACGCTGCCTCCAGAAGCTGTGAGAGAGAAGGGATGGATTCTCCAGTAGTGCTGCCCAAAGAACTGCAGTCCTGTTGATAGACTGATTTTACCCCAGTGAAACTGATTCCAGACTGCTGATGTCCAGAATGCAAGATAATAAATTCATGTTGTTTTAAGCCACTGTTTGTGGTACTTTGTTATAGCAGGCATAGAAAACTAATACACTAATTTTAAAAGAGAAGAAATACATGAAATGTACATTAAAATAACTGAAGAAGATAAAATAACCAATGTACCTAAAGATTATATTAAAAGTATTAAACTGAGTGGATTTGCTGCAACCAGGAAATCATGGTCAGAAAGTAAAAAGCAATAGTTGCAGAAGATTTTTCATGTCCTTCTTCAACTACATCAAGAAAACAAATAGATTTTCATGAAATACACAATTTAGAGTAAATTTACCAGAAAAAATAAGGAATAGTCTTACCAAAGCAATTGAAAAAAAAAAAAAAACAGCCTTTCATGTTAAGAGCTAGACCCGGCAAAATCTTTCAGGAAAAAGTGGAAATGATCACTGGCAAGTACCAACATCAGCGTGTTTCCCATGAGAGCAAAGCTTATGCTAGCAGGTTGGGAATACTGATAATGGAGAAGAACTGATGAGTTCAGGAAGGAAAAATGGCAACTTTAGACATAAAGTTTTTGAGTTAGAATTGAATATGAACATTTTGAGAAGTATCTTGATATCCCTGGTGTTCTAAATTGGACATTTGGCAGAGGCCCGAGAAGCCCACCAGGGAATGTTCTCTAGATCCCAAGGCAGGAGTACACAAAGCTGTGTTGGTGTAGAAAGGGAGGATCTAGTGGCTATTAAAGAGCAGATGCCGCCCCCGCCAGGGTTAGAACGCTAGGAGAAGGAGATGCACCAGGTGCTCCACAGGGAAAGGCAGAGTACATCATGATGCTCCTTGTATTGGCATTTGCTGGGGACCTTCTTTTGATTTAACTCTCCCAAACGAAATGGAGATGCTAATCCTCAACTAGTCTACTCAATGAGTCTACAGCAAGTGGGTTTTTTTTAATCTTCTAAAACAATTTTAATGTTTTTCTGTTTTGCAATATGAAGGACCACTGTTTAAGGGATTATATGATAATTCAAATGGAAATTTTAAAAGTTATCATTATTAGCATAGTACTTTATTAATGTATGCATATTTTATATTTATATTATAAATGTAAATCTATAATGCATAAATATATGTGAATCTGATTGTAAATTATTTCTATTTTATTTTAATTTTAGATCGTGTAATTATACTATTTTTGGGTTGATACTGTGCAAGACTCTTCTATGACTCAGAAACACAGCATTTTTTTTTGCCTCTCTTCCAAAAGAAGAATTTCCTTTTGTTTAGTTTCACTGTTACTATACAAGCAAGTGGAAAGGTGACAAAAATGTGAATTGTCAAGAATATTTTATATATCTCATTTATTTAAAAGTGAATTTCATGAGTAAATTCTTCCCTTTTCTTCTATTTTGTAGCTAGCGTATAGATAAATTTCAACTGACGGTGTTTAGAAAGTCCCCCGTAATGTGCACTGTAGTAAGGGTTCTGTAGGAACAGTCTCACTTTTGGATATTTTCAAAGTTCCAGGTCCATTTGTGTATGCCAAGGGCTGAATTTGCTCTAGTTTTCGGACTAATATGTTTCCATGAGTAAGTTTTAGTTTAAAAGAAATATGTGTATGTCACTTATTGAGCTTCTCATAAAACCCAAATCCCCATTATGGCCTAGGAGACCCTGTGTGAACTGGACCCTGCTGTTCCCCCAGACCTCATCTAGAGCTTTCTGTGCTCTGGGCACCCTGACCACCTACCAGAAGCTCAAAGGCCCCACACTGCTCGTCTTTTGTTCACTCTGTTCTTTTGAACTGAAATCCTTTTCTTCTTATACTTTGCCCATTTTCCAATTGAAATGAATTTCAATTGAATTTCCCAATTGAAATTAATTCCTCCTGTTCCTCTTTGCATCCTATGCTTTTCCAAATTTCTTGGCTAACATATATGACAATTTGTAATTATGTAACTATGTATGTGATTATGTGTTGAATGTACATATCCATCCCACATCTCCACATAGTCAGGGATTATAGCTTTTTTCTTTATTCACTATTTCCATTGTTTTTAGGGCTAGGGATGAAGGGTGCATGGGGCGTTTGGATAGGATAGTTCTACCTTGTGCATGCATATCAGGTAGGTTTTGTGCAGTAACCATGAATAGCAAATGGCCTTCAAAACTTAGGAGCTACGACGACAAAGATTTACTTTTTAATGGCAGTTCTGTTGATCAGCACTTGTTCCTGTAGGCTTTGCTAGGTCTGAGTTTCAAGTTTGCTCGCATCAATCTGGTCTGTTTTTTATTCAAGGGCCCAGGCTAAAATTTGAACAATGGCTACAGAATCATCTTCTCATGAAGCACACTAGGACAGGCAGAAGACAGCACACTTCTTAAAGCCCCAACTTGAATTGACATGTTCTCATGTCTGCTCGCTCCCACTAATCAAAGGAAGTCATGTGGAGGAGGAAGCTCAACTCCACCCACTTGTCAATACTCTACACGCATATAGTTCCCTAGGGGGCTGATAGCAAAACTCTTCTTCTCTTACTCTGTTCCTATAGAGAACCCTTCGTAGCACCTGCTAGACAATAATGACAAACTAGGTATTGTGAATAAACTCACTTTGAAAAATTGTCCTCCAGAATGGGTTTAATAATGTACACAATATTTGGGAGTGTTATTAGCATTGATAAAAGGGCTTTCTATATTAACAATCTAAGTACAAATACCTAATTTACTTTTCTTGGAGGCTTTTTTTTAAATTTTTTCTTTATGTTTTGTTTTTAAATCTGTGATACTCTTGCCATATATAACGTAACCATTCACCAGCTTGTTTTTAAATGTTTTGAAAATTTTGACAAGCAGAGGTTTTTGTTGATGTTTGTTTCTTGGTGCTTTGTTGTTTGTTGGTTGGTTTCTGTTTTTACATGTTCTCTTGTGCTTTTCTTTGACGGCATTATTAGTCAATCTTTTTAATGACAATCTATGGTCCATAAGAATGTTTCTTGTTGTGGATAAAGTTGTTTTTATCTTTTTTCTTTTACAAATAATAATGTGATGAAGATCTTTGTAGGTTATAAGGATTTCATATAATTTTTTTGAAAGATCCTAGAAAAAGATGGATCAAGTTTAAAAGTATTTTTAGGTATTTACATATTTTGTCAAATTATTCTCCAGAGAAGTTGTACTACTTTTCCCTCCCTTGCACACAAGAGTGTGCGAGAGCCATCAACGCTTCTCGACGTAAATATTAATATTAAAGATATTTTGGACTAATTTCATGGTGAATGTTATCTTGTTTTAATAGTACCCAAGGGTAAGTAAAAGATTCTGCATTGTGGGGAGATCGCTCTACAAAATGAACTTTTGAAAGATATTTGGGAACAGACGAAATGGCCTGGTCTTCTGAGAAACTGAAACAAAGGGCTTGGGACCCAGAATGAAGTTGAAGGAAAAGAAAATAGAACTTTGGGATGGAAAGGGAACGCCAGCACACCCCAGGTCTGTACCCCTGGCCTTGCAGTCCTGGGGGTCCCTGACAGGCGATCGGGCTCAAAAGGAAGCCAACAGCAGCCGCAGGGGGCTTCTCTCCGAGGGTTGCCCCGCAGTCTCTGGGTTATGATCCCCACGGGAGTACCTGGGAGTTCCTCGCCACTCGGCCCCTGCAGGAGGACAAAGCAGAGGAATTTCTGATTCATGTGTTTTTCCGTGGGATGCCAGAAAGGGAGTTTTGAGAGCTCCTATACCAGCTTAGCTTGGGGGTCCCTACGTAGCAACCACCCGGGTCCCGGAAGAGGCCAGCCCGGCCTGGCGCCCGCAGCCCCGGATCCCCTGCCCGGAGTCCGAGCGCGCGGGCGCAGCCACCAACGCTGAAATGCGACCGCGTCCCGGGGCGTTCCCGCTCTGGGGTGCGGAGCTACCAAGAAAGGGGCTTCGTCTCCAGGAGGGGCCAGGAGGCAAAATGGAAGGAAGCACTAGATCTCCGCGGCAGAAATCATTCTTACTTATGCCCTGCCGAAGAGTAGAGGGCAGCAACCGACTTGTGCTAAAGGAGGGCACGTGTGGGTCTGCCAGGGTCCTGCAGGTGGGGTGAGACCCTCGCTCAGCTCCGGCTATCCCTTCGCTCTCCACCCTCGGCCAGCCCCTCCTGTCCTCCATCAGGCCTCGCTGAGGATACCTCCCAGGGTCAAAAGCGCGAGTTGAACCTGAGCTTGACATTCATTCCGTCTCAGGGTGCAAAAGCCATGCCCGCGGGGAGAGGGAGAAAATTTCCTACAGGGGCCTCAAAACTGCGTTTCAGGAAGCCCTAGGACCCACTGATCCTGCAGCTGCCCCTCTCACTCGCCCCAGGTTTGGATTACTAGTCACTTTCTGTTAAGCTGACATTTATGGAGGGCCTAGTGCGTCCTGAGTGCTGCGCTATTTAGACTGTTGCACAGAGGGGAGGCCAACTCCAGCCAGGCTTTGCGGCTTCCCCATTCTTCCTCCTCCTGTAATCCAGACAAAACCCCGCGTTGTAACCAATCCAGGGGCAGTGTAGCAGTGCCAAGCAGGCAGCTCAGAGGCCAGTGGAAGGACAGGGCATGATCAACAGGCCTTCTGGTATTTTCTAACATACGTATTAACAGGTAAGAGGAAATTAAAAAACGGAGATGGACAACAGAACTTCACTCTGACTTGAGTGACTTTTATCCTCATTTGGATAATGGTTTTCAAAAGTTATTTGTGCGTGTGTATGTGCTATTCATAAGGCAACGGCTACTGACCCAACACATATTTGCATCTATTCTTCATTATTGGCATTTCACTCCATAAATGTCTTAGCCCAGACAATCAACAAAGCCGTAAACCAACTCCTGATTTGTAGCTTTTGCTGATTTCTGTATTTAAATTACCCATCATAGCCAATTTTAAGTTACAATGTGTAGTCGTTGAATACAGATTTGGAAAGAGTCACATTTGCACACTCTTATATATTTTTCCACCTAAAAGGTACACTAGAAATAAATAACTCTAAGAACACAGATAACAGCAAAATGTAGCAACTAATTAGGAAGAAATGAATTTTGAGTCTCCATTACTTTTCCAGTAAAATTTACCTAACAAGTGTGTTGCAAACAAGTGTATGTAATTGAATTTTAACTCAAAATTTTAGTAATTTGAACAACGGATACTTGTTAGCTGGTGTGAACTAGCTCCAGCACAGAATCCTGTCCCATGAAGAGAAGTTTTATGGCTTACATTTTTAGATATATCTAAGTTTACTGGAACTCAAATACAGAACAAAATCCCACCAAAATTAACATGCACTGTCATATATAAATACATACGCTTTTATATGTGTGTATATATATGTGTATACACACTTTTATACATGCATATATGTACATATACTTTATGTATATATTTTTACACATATTTTTAATATAGGTATGTATCTGTATATATACTTTTAATTAACAGTCATGTTACAGAGGGCCTACTCTGACAGAAATGTACATCTCTCAGAATCATTATCATCTGGTGCAAGTGTCAGCTAACTACTGCCAGTAGACTAGATCTCTCTAGCTTACCACCTGGTTTTGTACTGCCAGAGAACTATGTACAGATTTTACACATTTACACTGTGAAGATCATTATCTTTTCCACACGAACAGTTGCTTGAAGAGTTGAGAGTATTGGCAGTAGCAACAATAGACAACTAAAGAACAAAGCAAATATCCAATTTAACAGCAATGCTGTTATTTCCTTGAGAAGTTAATACTGAGTTTGAAGTCACTAAAGAATCATCTCCTATGAATAGTCTGAAGGGAACAACTATACATGAGAATATGTTTAAAGAAGTTGAGAAAATATGAATTCAGTACAACCTGAAGTACAATCTGCTAAGATATCTTTCAATTGAATCTGAGACAGTATGTAGAACAGAAAAAGTCTAATTTGAAAAAATTTACAAAGCTTGTGAAAATATATGGTGTTTATTTATTTATTCATTTTATTATTCATCAGCAGTACTTTGCAGAAAATATTTTAATCTATTATTTGTTATTTAAACCAGCATTGTCATTGCTGAACTACATCCACTCTGGTGAACAGTTCAGACAACTAGAAGTGGAAGATGAATACCCTGAGGTTGTCCCACTGCATGGCAGTTTGATGGGTTAGGACTCAATTTATTTTTTTGAAATTTTTGAGCTTAAGGAAGAGATCAAAATATTTTTCTGTATGAAAAGAATTTCTCTTGGCCTGTACTAACAACCATTGAATGACTTTGGAAATTAGCTTTTGCTGCAGACTTGATAATGTTGCTTTTTTTTTTTTTTTTTTTTAGCTGAAGTCTCGCTCTGTCACCCAGGCTGCTGTGCAGTGGCTCGATCTCAGCTCACTGCAACCTCCGCCTCGTGGGTTCAAGTGATTCTCCTGCCTCAGCCTCCTGAGTAGCTGGGATTATAGGCACGCATCAGCACGCCCAGTTAATTTTTGTATTTTTAGTAGAGATGGTGTTTCACCATGTTGGTCAGGCTGGTCTCAAACTCCTGACCTCATGCCTCGTGATCTGCCCACCTCGGCCTCCCAAAGTGCTGGGATTATAGGCGTGAGCCACCACACCCGGCCTTGATAATGTTTCTTAATGAATTCAACCTGTATATATACAAGGCAAAATGGTGCTTATATATGGAAGTTATACTGCAATATATCCTTTAGATAATGAATGTTATATAAATCCCTAGTGATGTTGAGTTGATCTATAAATTTCTTATGTTGGAAAAAGTAGAAAAAAGCAAAATGAACTCCATTCCCACAGTATTTGAAGCAGCTATAATTTCCCAGATCAAACTACAGCTTCAATTACATTTTTCTCATCTTTAGGCAAGGACAAAGGAGATTCCCATATCTCAGAATCTGTTTAATTTTCCAATTGAGAAGCTGCCACGTAACTTTTCAACTGGAAATGATTACTCTGTAAAGCAATGACATAATAAAAGACAAATATCAAGAAAATAGTCTGACAGAATTCTATCTGCCTTTTAAGGGATAAATATGTACAATTGAAATTATATGCTAATGGATTGATATCAGTATTTGGCAGTTCTCTTAAATGTGAAAAGCTATTTCAAAGATGAAATCTGTAAAATCTCATTTCAGATCAGCATTAACAGTTGAGCGATTATTTATGATGAACACAACTTTGAACGCTGATTACATGAAATGTTAATAAAATAATTCTCAAATTGTACTTGATTATTACTGTTATACTTTGTGTTTCACCTAGAATAATAGCAAGAATTGTTCTTGTTATACAAGGACCTGCACATTATCTTTAATTTTGCCTTCAGCCTGGAAACCTAAGATATGTAATATCTGGCCCCTTAAAACAATTTTGCTGATCCCTGATCTACTTGAAAACAAAATTAGTAAGTATGAATTGACCCTGTAGAATTCTTTGTGAAAACACTCTGTTTACCTGATTGCTGCTGGTAATTATAAATAAAACATTTTACAAATTTTATAAAAAGTCTAGTATAGTAATACATGATATAGATTCAGTTTATATTCAAGTATTTGATATTAGATATATGGCCACTTAAAATATAATGAAAGAAAACAATATTTTTGAAATAAAATATTAATTGATATAACATCTATTATTATTCTTAACATATATTATACTATGCCTGTGTCATGTAGAAATATTCTGTAAGAGTGATTTCAATCTTTCTAGCTCACTTTCATCCAAAGTTTAATATATATTACTACACATCAGTAGGCCATGTATCAAAATGCAGTATCAGTCTATAAGCAGTCATTGCATTGTGACAAATTGCTTTCATGTTCCCTGTAAAGTTTTCTTCAAGGTACATTCTTATAACAAAGCCGCTTTGGAAAGATAACCCCTGACCCAGATGAAATTAGAAATGTTTTCTCACGGAAAAAAATCTTTCATTTTGCATTCAAAAGCTGTGCTAGTTGAGGACTTTATGATTTTTATGATTGCTGTTTTTAGCAAACCAGTCTATATGTCCTGGGGATTAATATATACATAGATCTCATAATTGATATTTCTCTTGGCAAAAAACCACTTCTTACCCTACTCAAGAGTGCAGCAATTATTTTTCTTATTTTGCTTCCTTTGTCTCTTTTTGATGTGGAGTTTACCATGTGATCAACTTTTCTAAACAAATTCTGAATTTTTAATTTTGCAATGTACGTATATTTGCTTATGGAGTTTACTGGATATAGATATAAAAATACCTATCACTTGACATATTATGGAATGAAAATTCCCTACATTTTTGATAACAGAAATACATTACTTCCCTACTTTGTCAATTCCACTCTTACAAATTGTATAATATTTTTCTTATGAATAGGTGTATCTACATGCCCATATTAAGTCTTTAAACTTTGAAAATCAACTTTAAATTCCAGATCATTTACATAATGTTATACACATACACACAGAAACACTACAGACAAGTCAGAAGCTCAAGGACTCAGTTGCCTTTTTAATTCATATATTCATTAAGCATATAATGAATAAATACCAAATGCCCAGCACTGACCTAGATGCTAAATCCAGTCAAATAATAATCATTGTACCACCTTATTCTTATTCAATAATGTACTGATTTTTATAAGTTTCATATAATGGAACCAAATGGGTTATCATTTTTAAATGAGTGTTTCAAATATCATAATTTATTTAAAACATACAATATTATTTTATTTTCCTCATACAGAATAATTATTCTGTAAAAAAAGTCACTATTTATTCTTCTTCCTCAAGTTTTACTTTTAATTGTCTTTTAAAATGAGCATGTAGAGTTGAATTTTATTCTAAAGACTAATTTCTTGAACAGGCTGTTGCTTTAAGCTTAGGTTTTACAGTATGTTTTCTTATTCTGGGAAGATAAATATATTTAATATACTTTAAATTGGATCATATTTTATGAGACCTCAAGGGATCTACTCTTATGTGAACCAAACATTATTGCATAATTATTACTTCAGATATTTCAAATGATGATGACTAATTAAATATACACATAATACATTTATCAGTGAAAAAATTGCAATGACATTTTCTTTTCCCTTTTGAAAGGGCCTGTATTCTTTGCAGAAGAAGTTTTAAGAAGGAGCCAGTATAACAACAACTAAGAACATGATTTAGCATTAATGTTTCATAATGCAGTTGAGGTTCATGGTTAACTCGAGAAATGCCAACATCCTCCAGGTAAGCATGACTCTGAGATTCTGTAACAAGGTGATGTATAAGGCTCTATGGCAGATGTTGGTCTGTCTTTGTGTGTACAAGTATTAATGATAAATTTATTTTATTATTGATTTAG